GCGTTCATATCATTTTCAGTCTTCAGTGTTAATTTACTACACCGGGCCAATGCTGCAAATCTGTAACATCCCAGAACGCACTGGATGTGAAGGTCTCTCTCTCTCAAACAAGGATTGTATATTACTATCCCATATGATCATTTTCCCCAAACATCTGATTTTTTCCTGTTACTAAAATTAAATTTGAGCCTGAGAGGGGTAATTCTTGACGTCATAACTTTTCATTTCGTATTCTGATGGATAAAATACACACGATCTATTGTATGTACAACTGGACTCATTTGAGAGTTTACAAATATTTATTTTATGCTACAGCCAAATATGCACGGATTTCTATTCTGTATGCACGAATATTTTTGAAAGCTTTCTTACTCCATATTTTAAGGCCCTGTTTACACATACACATTTCCCCTTGTTTGTACCCATCTTGTACACGCAAACGTTGAATTCGCCTCTGAAAACAAATCTTTCTAAAAACTCTGAGATTTCTAAGAACCCTGAGACTCTGAGACTCTGAGATTCTGGAAAACTACAGTTTCTCGTTTGCATGTAAAATGAGATAAACAGTGAGTTTTAGGAGCTGACACGCCAAAAGTGCGACCAATATTTACCTTTTGCTCTGATGATGATCATGGAAACATCAGAGCAGCAGTCACAGTTCTTCTGGTGCAAACACTTTTCATGTGTTTGCATTTGCACACAGCTGATGTTTCATATCCATGACCAGAGACGAATGAGGCTCGGAGGTCAGCAATTTTGCCACTTCTTTAAAATATCTGTGGAGAGGCGAGCCCGCTCACTAATGCACGTTTTTCAAGGTATTTGTGAGTAATACTTACAACTGTGATGAAATAAATGCTACAGGTTTAAATTTAATCCAGCTGCTGCACACAGGTTTGGCGTAGTTATAACAGCGCTCCATGGTGTGTTTATGCAGGCTGATGTAAATGAAAACTTCTTTGAAAACGATGCTGTGTGCACGATGTTATTTTGGAAAACGTAGGGAGGGAAATATTTGTTTCTCAACATACCTGACTATGTGTAAACCTTGCCTAAATCTGCACTGTGTAACTTTTCTAGTGAAGGAGCTGCTTCCAGTTTGTTTCCATGGAGATGTTATTGCTTTACCTGGAGTGTTTCACAGTATGGTTCTGAAGTTATATCTTTTGTATTTATTCAGCTGGTGTTTTTATAGTTCAGAATACCTTGAATAGCATGCACTCATTTCAGCAAACTACTCACAAAGAGTTTTTATGGTAGCCAGTGGGGATGTAACGATATCCAAATCTCTCGATACGATATTATCACCAAATGCATTTCACACGATATTCATTGCGATATTTTAAAGAGGCTGATATAATTGGAGATAGGACACTTTTTTGCTTTTAAAATACCGTGACTAGATTTTGGTGTGAATTATTTCTGTCATAATCCCAAGAATTCAAGTAAAAAAACATATTGAACATAAAATAATATCCTGCACTTAGAATAGTTTTCTCTATGTTTAAGATGTTGCTACTATAAAACCATGCATTTAAGCAAAGGAACTTGTGATTCGATATATTGTGACGCCCCACGATATTATTGTGAGCCTTTTGATGATACGATATTTTGGTTATGGTTACATCCCTAGTAGCCAATATCAACTGCTTGGCTAAAATGAAGTGAATTCACCTCAAAAATCAAATTACATTTTTATAATTTGTTACTTTCCACTCCTGATATCAGACACTACATTACTACTTTGTAGCATTAAATGAATCTGCAACCTATGATTGTGAACGCTAGACAGGATAATGTCAGAGATAAAAATAAATACCCAAGGTCTCACTGTTGACACCAGACGAAGACACACTTTTTTTTAATCAAGTTTCTGTTTCCTTTGTGCCTTTGTGGTGCTGTGTTGCGTGTCTATTTTAGAAGTGATACAGTGTAATCTTGTTTACGAAGTAATAAGGTGATAGTTTTAGTGACATTTGTGAAAACGTGTGACCAAGTGTGACTAAGTAGCAAGCAGGAAAGACGAGAGGATGAGGAGAGTGAAGGGGATGAGGAGAGGATGAGAAACCTTTCTATCTTCATAGAGACCAAACCAGACCAAGTTACAGGTCAGATCTGTGGAGAGGCAACTCGGCTCACAGTCAGAGCGCTTTTTTTTTCTTGGTGTTTTTGAGCAATAAAACCACCTGTAGTTGAATACATGTAAGGTAGAGTTGTTTAATGTCACACTGTGGAACATTCCAGGTGATGGACCCCAACCGAAAAGTTACACAGTGCACCTTTAACTTAGATTGAAAAGTACAATCTTGATTCATTTTTTTTCTTGCAGACTTCCCAGCTAATTCTACTAAAACAATACACTATGTTTTGATCTAAGGAAGTCTAACTCTGTAATTACACTTGCCATATTTTGTTGTTTTAATTTCACATCTCATTGATCCAGATTTCTTGGATTGTTTCTTTGTGTATTCCTAAAAACGGGTGTTTCCGTTGGACCCTGATCATAGCTTTAATCTCCGTCCCACTGATTGATAAGCACAAACTATTGTGTCCCTCTCACACTGTTCACGACCAAAGGCAAAACACAAGTTCTCCCAAAGTAAATATTTTAGTTTCATTTTGTTTTTTGTTTTTCATATCATTGGGCGGCTGTCAAAGAATCGGCAGGTCATTCATCACCTCAAATTTCAGATTCCTGCACTGTAAACAAAACTTGCTGCGCATTTCATATTTTGAGATGAAGGAAAAAGATTTTATAACTTTCAGAAATAACCGCACAAAAATGAACTTTTGCTTGAGACTGCATTTAGACTTAGACAAACTTTACTGACCCACAAGGGAAATTATTTGGACACAGGAGCTCACACATCACAATATATTATAAAAACAAAGAGCAAGAAATATAAATGGTAATAATAAATTCTAAATAAGTTGCAACAATAGCAAGAGACCGGTGTCAAATAAGGCATCATTATGTTATACGTACAAGTAAAAAACTAAAAAAAGAAAGAAAGAAAATCACGATAGTTTTAGTTCTGTTGTTTATACTCAGCAGAGGTGTGGTGTTTCAAGTCATGACTTGGACTTGAGTCAGACTTGAGTCACTATTTTTAGGACTTTAGATTTGACTTGATAAAATGGACTAAGACTTGAGACTCGCCTTGGACTTGAGAAGACTTGAGAAGCACTTTTAAATCTGAATTCGTTCTGTATTTTTCTGTAAGATCTTGTCAAGACATTTAAAAAGGAAAGAATTGTATTTCTACAACTCTTATATATTCTATAAATACTCATATATAAATATACTATGACTTTGCAAGTACAATTTATACTAAAAGTCATGTAAATTGCAAAAATCTAAGCTATATTTGGTGCTTTGGTTTAAAGACTTGAAATGACTCGAAGCTCAAAACAGACGACTTGGACTTATGGGCCAGTGACTCAAGACTCGACTTGGACTTGGCTGTCTTTGACTTGGGACTTGACTCGGACTTGAGGTCAAAGACTTGAGACTTACATGAGACTTGCAAAACGATGATACCAAGTGTAGTTACAGTACGTTTTTTAGGTCTGCTGGATATTCCCTAAATTCAGCTCAAAGACAGAAGTTAAGCCAAATGTTTGACACTCACTTAACGTATATTATTTTTTTGTATATTATTATTGTTATTATTTAAAGGTGCACTATGTATCTTTCCTGTAGGAGGGTACACCACCAGCTTGTGATATTTTATTAGTTTGGAATGTTGGAATGGTCCAGATTTTTGCCTTAAACATTTGCATTTACTCCAGTACAGGTGTTTTGAACATTTTTTAAACAAGTATTCTTGCTATGGACTGTGGAAAGCACTTGCCTCTCCACAGACTCGACTTGTAACTTTTCTTTGTGCAACCTCCTGCAGGTTTAAAGGTTCTATATTACCCAAAATTGACTCTTGTGAGCTTTTAGCCATGTTAGAATCCTGTTATCTCTTCAGAAACGTACATGGAGTTGTGTTTTGTTTCACTGACACATGTTTGAGTCACCCTTTATTATTACTCTGTCTACATCAGTGTTTTCCGAACTTTTTTTTTTATGGAGACCCATATTTTAAAAGTCACAAACCTTCACGACTCAAGTCAATAGACATGATTTGTAAATCACAAAATAAAGGTGGATTTGACCAACATTAATGAGGATATTTTATTGTTGATGGAGTGATCGTGTCTCTCTGAACAGTTAGTATTACTCAAGTTTTAAACAATGAAAAACAGAAATTGAACCAGCAATGAAAGGATCCATAAGTCGATTATTTGGACATTAAATGTAGAACTTTTTTTTTCTTTTCAACATTCAATTGAACCAGCAAATTGGAACAAAATAGTCTGTAGAACTGTGTATATTGCAGACCTACGTGCAGATCGTGACAAGGTGACCCCCCAAAAAATCGCTTGCAACCCAACTGAGCATTGCGACCCAGTCTTTTGGAAACAATGGTCTACATCTTCCACCTTGTGATGTCATGAAGTGATAGTTTTAACATTACCAGCTACCATTCACATTTAGTTCAGTGGAGACGGTCAGTTCCAGGCCTGAAATTACTGAAATGATTCTAGCGAAGGTGTATGGAGTTTAAAAACACAGTGGAGCACTTCCTGTACTAAAACATGACATCACAAAGTGGTTTCTGTTTGAGAGAAGAATTCAGCCTAAATATGCAGGGTTTGTGGGTTAAACATGTGTGAAAGAAACAAAAGGAAATGGCATTATAACATACACCAGAAAATAGCCTAATATGGGCGCTTTAATGCCCTACTATGCAACATTCCAAGAGTGTCAGACAACATCGCCGTGAAGACCAAAATGTGGCGGGGTCTGCTCCAGAAAAGTTGCGTAGTTCCCCTTTAATGAAGACATAAACTATAAACAAACACAAGCACATATTGAAATCCTTGTTCTCCAGCTTCAATACTTCACTGTTCATTAATTCCTGCATATTTCTCCCTGTTTCCTCACACAGTTATCGAGTGGGTGTCTGAGCGAGGAAGGAGAGAGGAGACAAGCCTAGTGTCCTCGAGCTCGTTCACTTTAGGAAACACATCGCTGGACTTCCAAAAGGGGATGGACCGCCAGACTCTGAAATCCCACTCCCCCCTAGGCACAGATTTCATTATTAAGGTGAGTTCACGGACCGCTGGAAAAAAACAGCCGCGGGCCTTTCATCTCCCCATGTTCGCCATTTATTATGAATTAAACAGGAACGGAGTCGGAATAAGCACAGTAACATTACTTTTAAATGAGGCGTACATTTGCCTGTGGCTCTATTCTGCAAAAGTTGTCTCTCAGTGCTGAAATAAAAAGGGCAAAGCTGTGTTTAACCAATAGCCTTGACTTCAATAATAACTAACATATCAAATATTTAGTATCATGTGAGTAGACCTCTGCATAGTAAAGAGGTATTTAAAACTATTTTGTTTTATATCGAGTATCAACGAGGGACTAAAAGAGTGTTTGCATTTTGAGCTACCGTGTTTTTCGGAGTATAAGCCAAAAACACAGCCAAAAAATGCATAATGAAGAAGAAAAAAACATATATAAGTCACACTTTTGGGGGGAAATTTATTAGACCAGCAACTGACTTTTCATCTTGAAAGGCAAGTTATAGTAAAAACAATAGAACAGAGAACAACAGACTGTTAACGTCACATATGAAAAGTTCTTCTGATACTTCTACTTCTATTTTATTAAAGTAAAAACTGTCAGTGGGATGGGAACTAGGGCCATGGCCCGGGGGAACTGTGTGGTCCCACATAGACGCACCACATTCGGAAAAACTGTGTCTCAATCAGAGGCATAAGACTAAAACTTGCCACTTTCAAATCCCACTTGAAACAGTGGCTAAAGGAAAACCAGACTTGTGGGCACTGAACTGTCACTTGTTTTTGTTGTTTTTTCTTTGTTAAATTTGTGGTGGAACTCAGGATTACAGATGGAAATTAGCATTCTTCCTATAATCTGTCATCTTTACACTGCAGTGTCATAGATGTTCATTATTAAATAAATAAATTAATATTTATAAATAAATAAATAATAATTATAGCATAAACAACAGAACAGAACAAGTTTACCAAAGTCTCCATCTCACTCCAAATCACTAAATCCATTCAATTCTTCATCCTCGGTGTCACTTCTGAGCAACTCTGCGACCTCCGGAGGTAAACAGAGCGTCACCTCCTCTTCTGCGTAGCTGTCGTCAGACTCAGACTCAGACTCAGTTCCAGTTGGAATTATTCTGGCCATTCTGAATCCCAACAAGATCCAACATTTTTGAAAGTTGTAGGTGTCCTGTCAGCCTGAACACGAGCAGTTTGTGATTACACTGCGCACTATGAGAAAAATCCTGTCTCAGCTCAGTGGATATTTTCCGCTGAAGTACCAGTGAGTGACCACTACGTCAACTTGAGGCAGCTACAATCAGCAACACCCTATCCAGTTATTTTAATAGATCCATGGTAAGTACACCAGAAGTTGTAATCACATTTTGGAAACTGTGTCTCAGATGACATGGCCCTGACCTGTGGGGTGCCTCAGGGGTCAATCCTGGGCCCCCTGTTGTTCAATCTCTACATGCTGCCATTAGGCCAGTTAATAAGCAGCAATAATGTGTCCTACCACAGTTATGCAGACGACACTCAGATCTACGTCTCTCTGGCAGCAGGAGACTATGGACCAGTGGAGTCACTTGGTCATTGCATCCAACAGATCAGTGTGTGGATGCAAAACAACTTTCTCCAGCTAAACTCTGACAAGACTGAAGTCATAGTGTTTGGTCCACAGAAACAAAGGGACAGTGTCAGCAGTCACCTCCAGTCTCTCTCTCTAAAACCTTCAAATCAGGCAAGAAATCTCAGGGGTAATAATGGACTCAGACTTGAACTTTAACAGCCACATCAAATCAATAACATCCGCAGCCTTTTACCGCCTAAAAAACATAGCAAAAATCAAAGGTTTACTGTCTAAAGCAGACTTGGAGAAACTTATCCATGCATTTGTCTCCAGTAGGTTAGATACTGTAATGGTCTGCTCACTGGTCTCTCCAAACGAGCTGTGAGACGCTGCAGAACATCCAGAACGCTGCAGCTCGGGTTCTTACTCGAACTAGGAAGTACGAGCACATAAGTCCTGTGCTCAGGTCTCTGCACTGGCTTCCTGTGCCTCAGAGAATAGACTTTAAAGCAGCTCTGCTTGTGTACAAGTCTCTCCATGGCCGAGCACCAAAGTACATCTGTGACATGTTAGTGTCATATGAACCATCTCACACTCTGAGGAGCTCAGGGACCGGCCTCCTGCTGGTGCCCAGAGTCACGACTAAACAAGGGGAGTCAGCGTTTCAGTTTCATGCAGCTAAAACCTGGAACAGTCTTCCTGAACATGTGAGACAGACTCTTCTGTGACGCTGTTTAAATCCAGGCTCAAAACATTTCTGTTTAACTGTGCATATAACTGAAAGGTTTTCATTCTGCACTCTTCTCTCCAATTTATGTCTCTCTTTTTAAATTTTAATCTTCATGATTATTTATGTTTTGATTTGTTTTTATTATGATTTTAATGTATTTCTTATTCTGTAAAGCACTTTGAATTATTTTGTGTACAAATTGTGCTATACAAATAAACTTGCCTTGCCTTGCCTTGCCATTTTTCCAAACGCCTTCCTGGTTTATGACGTAAGCCTGAATAGCGCCTATTAGAAGCTGTTGTTGCATCGTCTGGATGGAGGTTGGGACTGGCTGGTCAGACAAGTTAAGAGTGCAGTTCTAGCTCCCACACATTTATTTTATCGTTTATTTATGTCGTTTATTTATGAGACAGGGACAGTGCACACTATACATTAACAGGAGCGATGCATTGTGCCAGGTTGTAGCACTAGAGCTCATTTCCACCTGTAGTCTCTTGTGTGTTTGTTAGGTTTGAATGCTTAACCCGCCTCTCCCTCAGTGTCTGCGTACACTGCTGTATGAATGTGTGTGTGAATGGGTGAGTGGTTTGTTGATGTAAAGTGTTTTCAGGGTCTTGAAGGTGGAAAAGCGCTATATAAAAATATGACCGTTTACCAATATATTCTCCAAGCCAGACTCCATTCAACATTAATGAAAGATAGACTTTTGGCTGTACACTGCATCTCTCTCACTTCATCCATAAATCGCCTCTTGTCTTCTGTTCCCTGGCAGCTCAGCATCCCACTGCTCATATATTCACTATTTCTCTTCTCTGCTTCCCTAAACTATTTTATTTATGCCAACCACTATTTATACTTATTGTGTCATTTACAATATTTCATACGCAGCACAACAGGTATATGTATGCTGCTTTTTTGACCCATTTTTCCCCACCTCTGTGCTGCAGCGAACATAATATTATAACTTTAACAAAAGAAAAAAGTACTTAAGACTAGGGATGCACCAATCTGATACTGGTATTGGATATTGGTGCTGATTCAGAAATGGACTATTTACAAAAAGTCTTGTTCTGTTGATGCATGAGACATGAATAACAGCTACATTTGGATCAGATTGTGTTATGATATGTTGATTTTATTTAATGGAAATAAATACTATTGTTAATCTCGGCACTGGTATCAGCAGATATCGGTTATAGGCAGATACATAAAGGGACAGTCTGGAATTTTGGACATAGGACCTAATTTTCTAGTGAGCCAGAGTGTTGGAGACGTGTGGAGACACTTTTTAAAATATTCCATCCAGTCCTTGTATTTGTCATAGTAGTTGTAGTCCTTTGTATTAGGTCGCTGGTGCTAGACTAGTGCATGTCAATGGCCATAGTTATCCTGCCTAAAAACAGTCTTACCCACTCCACAAAACACCCGAAGCAAAACTATTATCACACCAGACAGTCGATGTAAATGTCTGTGTCGATAGAGTAATTTTAGAAGTAAAACCAACCTTGCAGTTGAAGGATTTTTGTCTGAGCAGCAGCGAGTTGTACCTACAGTAGCACCTAACTTACCGGCAAAGTAAAATTCCGCTGCTGCTGAGAAAATAGTCCCTCAACATGTGACAATTTACAAGATGCAAGGTTAGTTTTATTTCAGACATTATTCTATCAACACAGACATTTACATCTAGCTAGCCTGGTTCATCAGACGGTTTCACTTCACGGAAACCGTCTGACCTCGCAGCATTAGGATTCATTCACTCGATGGTAGGCAGGTAGTTTTTTTTTAACCAGTCGCTTCTGTTTGGTCGTGATGTATGTAATGCACCAAATCCCGTAGGAAGAAGGGCAAACATGTCTTTCCCCTTTGTTAAAATTTACCAAACATTCTCTTTGTTCCGGCTTTAAATCCTCAATCTCGGGAATCGTAGCCAACGCAGAATGTCTGTCTTCGTCTACATCCATCTCGACTCTTTGTTTACTGTTGTGCTGTACCACAAAATGGACCCAGACATGCGCTTGAGTTTGGCGTCATGGCGTCACAGCTCTTCACTGATTGGCCGGTGTGCGGTCTACAACTTCCTGGGTTCTCGCAAACCGTCTAGTGTATTCTGATTCCTGATCTAGTCGCTGTAGAGAAATGAAATTGACCGGAGGCACTAGGCAAATAATAGATTACTTCGGGTGCTTTAAGCAGTGGGTAAGACTGTTTTTAGACTGTTTTTATTCCGGACTGTCCCTTTAAAGCAATAGTATCAGAATCAGTATCGGAACTGACAAAAACTGACTATGAAAGAGAGAAAAAATACATTGTACATTCAGGTTGTATTCCTTCCATTAAATCACTTTAGTTTGCCATTGGCGTTTTGTTCACTTTGCCAACCACTCCAGGCCTATCTATGTACACTTCTGTTATTTCTCTTCTTGTCTGTGTTTGATCCAGATGAAGTACGGTGGCCCAGTGGACACAGTGGTGCAGTTCCTGTTTTATCAGCCAATCCGATTCCAGTGGAGAGAGACAGACTTCTTCCCCTGCTCCGTCACCTGTGGAGGAGGTCAGAATCGGCGTTTGTTTAAATATACACACTGCAAATTGTGTAGAAATACATTTGACATTTTCCTAACCAGTTTAAATTATTATTGACTTGACTTGAGTGGAACTGTTAATTGTTTCAGTGTAATTCTTAATGGTTTCACAATAAGAAAATAACACTCTGGGCAGTTCTTGTACCCCACTAGTGGTTATCCAAAGGTCCCGAATGATAAAAATAAAGGGTCACTGTCATTGCAATTACAAATTTAAGACAGAATATTATATTTTTTTTTAAAGGTCAACTGTCCTCAAAAATGGCACCACATAATTGGAAGCTGGAACCAGTGAATACTTTTCTAAAATTGTAAGGAAAATGGTCAACTTTTTAATTAACTGCTATTCATATTGGTGGTTTTTAGATTCTTCCAGATGGAGGAAAGAAAGTTTTTCCTATTGATAACATTATACTTTTGCAAATATCGGAAAGGTAAATTCCCAAATATAGAACCTGATCTTTTCTATTATTGACTAGACCCAAGACTGTGCTATATTAAAACTAAAATCTGCTTCATTTTTGCTGCCCCCATCATCTTTATTAAAAAAAATATTGGCCTATAGAATGCTGCAATGGCCTCTGAAACCCAAAACAGACAAAACAGCCTTAAATAGATTCTTATTTGTTCAGATTTGTTTACTGTATCACTATTAACTGGTGGCCTAGAGGTTAGAGCTCTCACCTCAAAACAACAAGGTCACAGGTTTGACTCACAGACAGTGTGGGGCCGTTCTGTGTGGACTTTGCATGTTGTTCTCTCCTTGCGTAGATTCTTCACCTCAGCTGGGCTCTCCTGGTTCAGGGGCTTCAGACGGGCAGCAGCAGTGTTGTAGTAGAGACCCACCTGAAGACCATTTTTTTTAAGATCACGGTTTTCTCTCGGGTTTGTTTTGGTCTTGTCTTGGTGCTTGGACTTGATCTTTTTTCGGTCTTGAAAGAGCTTGGACTCGGTCCTGTCTGGGTCTTGATGGTGTTTGGACTCCGTCTTGTCTCAGTTTTGAAGGTGTTTGGACTCAGCCTTGTTTCTGCCTCGAGGTCTGACACTTGATGAGTGATAAAAATGGAAATAGATTTCTAAAAACTTTGATATATAAGCACCAAAATAACTGAAATACAGACAAATGTCAAAAATTACTCAAATGGTCTCGATTTGGTCTCAAGGGACCGTGGTCTCGGTCTTGTCTCAGTCTCAGCCTTTAAAAGTCTTGGTCTTGTCTTGGTCTTGTCTCGGTCTTGACCCTCAGAGGTCTTGGTCTTGTCCTGGTCTCTGGACCCTGTGGTCTCGGACAGATCTTGGTCTCGATTAGTGCGGTCTTGACTACAACACTAGGCAGCAGTGCTTTAAAACTGCATAACACACGGCTCCAAGTTGTGTAATGCCATTGTGTTATACCGCGGCTACAAACTGAAATGTCTCACTTGTGAATATGAAAATCCTGTTCACTATAAATGTCTAAAATATCAGTTGGGTCAGTGTTTTAAATTATGTTAGTCCCTATATTCTACTCACAGATTTGGCTGTGGCTGGACTGTGCTTTATGCAGTATTAAATCACAAAAGTTGGACATTGGAATTCTCACTGACTGTGGTATCCGCATTATTCCGCCCCGCTGACTTTTGTCTCTAAATGCTCCTAAACTTTTTGTGGTGGCACTTCAGGTTAATCATGTCAGTGGAGAATTTGGGGAAACGTTTTGCTTCTTAAATATGACATAAAGTCGGTTCATTTGTGTAAAATATTCAGCGTTCATGTGACCAACATATCACACTGCGCCGATTCTCTGGGGGGATTTAAAATGGTTTTATAGTCCGTGTCAAACTTATTTGCTGTCAAGATCGGCAGCCCCATGCAAGATAATCCAACCCGAGAGACGACGGTGGCGCCCACGGCAACTTTCGGAATAAAGTGGATAAAAGTCAAATACATTATTAACCACATTTTACCTGTGTTGTTCAGGATACCAGTTAAACTCCGCCGAGTGCATAGACATCCGATCAAACCAGACCGTCCCGGAGCACCACTGCAACAGCTTCCCCGAAAACACCAAACCCACTCCCAGACTGAGGGAGTGCAGCCTGGAGCCCTGCCCGGAGAGGTACAGAAACAAAGACAAAGATAGATAATGAACAGTTTAGTAAGGCTTAGTAAGTATTAACCCATTAATTATGTAGTTACTAAGCCTCAGTAATCTATTTCTATCTGTTATGAGTCTTTGTTCATGTTTTATTTATTTATTTATTTTGTTTTATTTGCACCATACAACAAGCGTACAGACATTAGGCAGGACAGGTTCATGTTTTATTAAGACGCAGTTATTATAAAGTGGTACTGAATTATTTCTTTCATTCGCTCATCTTCAGTTATTCCTTCTTTTCTTATTGACAGTTAAAGATACTTAAATTCACCCTTGGGCACTGTGGGTAACGGATAGTAACAAATCTGTATCAAAGCTAAATATTCATGTTAGCAGGTTTTTTGCCCTGGAATTTAAAGTACCGTATTTTTCAGACTATAAGGCGCCCTTAAAATCCTTTAATTTTCTCAAACATCGACAGTGCGCCTTATGTATTAATTCAGGTTGTGCTTACTGATCTCAGACTGATTTTATGTGGTACAGGGCACTCAAAAATCTGTCAAAATGTTTTAGTACGACTTTGGTAAACTACAAACCGCACCACTTGATGGATTGTTGGAGATTTATGACTACCGTTTCCAGGAGCCTCGCGGAGTCATGTCCTTTAGTCCGACAGAAGCTGACCACATCAGCGCACAAGGAGTGAGCAGTTTTTTTTCAGTACATATAGTTTATGCAAATTATCCATGTAGTTTTAAGTTCTGTTTCTGTAAAACGTAAACAAATGTGCAAAAAGCTGCATTAAACACATTATTACTTCATGTATATTTGAGTCCTCCTCAAAAAAAGTAAAAAAAACAAACTCCAATCAGATCCACATTCATATTCCACATGTACCAAGACAGGGAGGCGACGCCGAGCGAATTACGCCACGATCTGTCAATGGATCGTGGATGTCTGGGCTAAGGTTTCAGTCTCAAGTGTCGTCCGTTTGTTTTGCTTAATGCGCCTTATAATCCGGTGCGTATTATAGTCTGAAAAATACGGTAAACAATTACAGGTGCACTATGTATGTTTTCTAGTGGAGGGTCTTTCTACAGCTTGCCTCATGGAGATGTTAATGCCTTGCCTGAATTGTTCCACAGTATGGCATTGCAAATATCTATCTTGCATTTATGCCTTGAAACACATGTATTCCTACTGCTTATGTGGTAGCCACTCCACAGATGTGACCTGTACTGGCCTGTTGGTATCACCTGCCTGTCTAGGTGGATAAATCCAATGCCATACTGTGGAACATTCCAGGCAAAGCAATAGTTTGTCCGTTTTTCATAAAGATAACCCGGCATTGGACCCTCTACAAGAAATGTTACACGGTGTGCCTTTAAAATCACAGAATTTCCAATAAAAACAACAACCCCATCTCCCTATTTTCATATCTACTGGCAGGATGTGTGTTTTTATGCAAGTTAAATTAGTATGATTAGTATTAAAATGTTCAAAATACGGTGTTTGGTGGTAGATTGATTGACATTATAACCCTCTATTTTATACATTTGAACAAGAAATCAATCCAAGGCTGTTTTTATTCAAGTGTTGACCTGTTCTGACCCTGCGTCTCTCTAAACCCCGACTGCCCGTTCACCTTGGGCCCTTAATGGTCTCTGATTGGTTGATCCCGTCTCTGTAATGGCTTGTGATTGGCTGACCTTACCTCAGACCGGGACTTAACCTTGACGCTGTCTGAATCTGCCTCCAGGCCTCTTCTAAATCCTCAGTTTTTCCTTTGGCTCGCAGCAAAAAACACTACGTGAACTGTTTATTAACTGCGGTAACCTGTGGATCGATACGGAGAAGGATCAATAGGCTAAAGACGGCAGTCTGAAATGCTTAATTTGCATTTTAAATCTGAATGCTGTTCATAGTATGTCTCAGAGGTCAGAATAGTGCCTCATCAGCAGTACAGAGCAGCTGTTTTCATGTCCTTCTGTGTATAGGATAAGCCTTATTTAACCTAATGTTGTTTTATTGTTGTGTTTCCCGCAGCGACGGATTCAAAGAGGTGATGCCCTATGATCATTTTCAGCCACTGCCTCGGTGAGTGATCGCAATACAAAACAGACCGGACAGAAAATGAATAAGCAGCTCATGTAGGCATTTATTTTACTTTCTTTTCCTTGTACTTTGAATTAAAGGTCCAATATTACGCAAAATTGACTCTTGTGAGCTTTTAAGCCAGGGGTGTCAAACTCATTTTGGTCCAGGGGCCGTATCCAACTTACTTTGATCCCAAAGGGGCTGGATCAGAAAACTCATGACATATATAACCCCAAAAACAGCAACAAGTTCAAATATTTGTGCAGAGAAACGCAAATCTATTACAGAAATCTTTTTTTAATTGATGAACTCTTTCTTTTACAAAATATTATAATATTATGAACAACCTGAAACTTTAAGGAAAATTCAATTTCAACACAATGTTTTAACATGAACTTGTATGTAAATAGGAATAAGTCAATTTTTCTTGGAAAATCCTGCATTCGGGTCCACTTTTCTCATTCTTGTCATTTTTCTGATGAGGGCGTCACGATCAACAGTCAAAACGATCGTCCTTTAAGAGTGTTTGGAAAGAGACAAGTCTTCATTTGTGCTGCTCTGGTGGGAGGGGCCACGTACAGAGGCTCTGGAGACACTGCTGATATGTTAAGAGACGCAGAAAATTACAAATATTTTTATAGAAAATATAATAAAAATATTTGAGTAGAAAATCAGCCGTGGGCCAGATTAAAGGTCTTGGAGGGCCGGATCTGGCCCCTGGGCCGTATGTTTGACATTCCTGATTTAAGCCATGTTATAATGTTGTTATCTCCCCGAAAACATAGCATAGCCACTTGTTTGAGTAATTCTTTATTATTAGTCTGTCTATATCTCCAAAGCTCAAACACTGTTCCACCCTGTGATGTCATAACGTGGTAGTTTTCGAGTTAACAGCTACCTTTAATGTTTTCTTTAGTAGATATTGGCAATTCCAGGGCTGAAATTATCCGATTGATTCTAGTGAAGGTGTATGGAGTTTAAAAACACAGTGGAGAACATTTTTTTTGTGCTGCTTATTTTGTGCTGCTTGTGCTGCTTATTTAGACGTTTATTACCATTTTATATTTTCTCTCTTTGTTATTTTAATAGAATGTGATGTGAAAGCAAACTACTGTGTCCAAGTAATTTCCCTTGTGGATCAATAAAGTTTGTCTAAGTCTGTCTAAGAAGAACTAAATATGCAGGGTTTGTGTGTTAAACATGTGCGAATGAAACACAACACAACTTTGTGATGAGGAAACATTATAACACAAGCCATAAAAGAGCGTGTAGCAAAATACAGGTCAGATCTCTGGAGCGGTGAGCCTGATCACGACATGAAGGCCTATTTTTCCCAGACATTTTGAGTGCCTGTAATTGAATAAATTGAAAGTTAAAAGCTTGACTGTGGAATATTCATGCAGGAAAAGCAACTATAGAAAGAAGTACCAGTAAAGTTACATTGTGCAAGTGCAAGTACTGACCAAAGCTGTAGACAGGTTGCCTAGGGTGACCAGACATCCCTATTTACCCGAGACAGTCACAGTTTTGAGCCCTGTGTCCCCTTTTCTCAGCAGATTTATCCAAAACCAATGATTTGTCCCAGTTTTATACAAGAAATGTCCCAAGTGTCCCTATTTTTGACCATTTTGAGAGAGAAAGAAAGTCATAAATTGTCATTTGTTTAGGTAAAATACAGAAAAGCTGCTTAAAAATTATCAAAACACAATGAAAATGTGATTCACACGTTAGTCATGAATGGGCCGAGTGCAGAACAATTTCCCTTAATTACGCACTCGTTTCACAATTTTATTATTACCTACAAATCCAAGCCAGGAAGTGTACCAGTTTTTCATTTTTGAAGATCTGGTCACCTTAAAGTTGCCCCGTCTGACACAGATTAAAAGATGGGAAGATGAAAATAATGTTGTAACAATAACCGAAATATCGTGATATCGTATTGTCAAAGTTCTCACAATAATAATCGTGGACCGTCACAATATATCGAATTAGAAGTCTCTTTGCTTAAATTAAGAGTTATGGTGCAGCAATAGCTAAAAAAAAGACAGAAGGAACTACATAGACCATGATCCTTTGCTCCATTTCAGTGCAGACTACAAGAAGAAATAAGCACTTTTAAATCTTACTTCGTACAATTAAGTCTTGTCAAGGCATTTTAAGAGAAAAAAGTCGCATATTAACAGTTTTGTTTGTAAGCCTCTACAAAATATCGCAATAAATATCGTACCGTGAGATGTATATCGTGAAAATATCGTACCGAGAGATTTGGATATTGTTACATCCCTAATCGTGAGCCTCTCCACCATATCGTGAGCTTTCCTACGATATCGCAATAAATATCGTACCGTGAGGTTCATACCGTGACGATATCGTATCGTGAGACTTGGATATCGTTACACCACTGTTGTTTACCTGTGTAATTTAATGCATTATTTTAGTTTTATTCTAATTCATATTCATTCAGTGTTTCATTTTAATTCATATAGAGATATTTTGTGATCCTTTGAATTATTCTTGTCTTATTACATTCTAAATTAGAGAATGATAGTGTCTTGAAAAGCCCAACCAGAGACAGGAATTGAGAATTACTGACAGTACACTCTATATATGTGTAACATCAGCTGCATGTTCTGCTTGTGACTCTGTACAACTGCATTGTCCTTGTTAAATAAATAAATAAATGTTATAGTCTTAAATCCCCTGTGGTGTTGTGCTTGTCGTTGTCAGATGGGAGACCGGTCCCTGGACGCGCTGCTCTGTGTCCTGTGGAGACTCGGGGGGGTGGCAGGACCGCAGCGTGCAGTGTGTGGAGGAGGACACCAGGGGGCAGCTGTCTCCGCTTGAGGACTGGAGGTGTGGCCACTCGCCTCGACCGATCACGCGACAGATCTGCAACACCTTCGCCTGTCCACAGTGGGTCGCTATGGAGTGGTCCCAGGTTAGATTCTCAATTTCACGACTCACGAGTTTCTAAAGCAAATTACACAGTCTGAGTGTTTGAATATTTGAATAGTTTTAGTTCAGATTATTGAAGCTTGCTCATTACTTAGAGTTTATTTTTGTATTTATATTTAGTTTTACTTTTTAAAATATATACATTTTCTCATTCCTCTGCCTAATCTAGTCTAAAACACCTTAAGTCTTTCTTAATGCTAAATATTTAAATCCTGTAAGGTGAATATTGGACTAAACTAAAGTAAATCCCATTGACATGTTAGTTTCATATGAACCATCTCACACTCTGAGGATCTCAGGGACCGGCCTCCTGATTTAGTCCTGGTATAGTCCTAGTGTAGTTCTGATTTAGTCCTGGTTTAGTCCTGGCTTAGTCCTGGCCTCCTTCAGTCTTCCTGAACATGTGAGAGAGGCCTCTACTGTGACTGTGTTTAAATCCAGGTTCAAAGAGGTTCTGTTTAACCCTGTTTAGTCCAAAGGTTCTGTTTAGTCCAAAGGTTCTGTTTAGTCCCTGTTTAGTCCAAAGGTTCTGTTTAGTCCAAAGGTTCTGTTTAGTCTGAAGGTTCTGTTTAGTTCAAAGGTTCTGTTTAGTCTGAAGGTTCTGTTTAGTCCTATTTAGTCCAAAGATTCTATTTAGTCCAAAGGTTCTGTTTAGTCCAATGGTTCCGTTTAGCCCTGTTTAGTCCAAAGGTTCTGTTTAGTCCAAAGGTTCTGTTTAGCCCTATTTAGTCCAAAGATTCTATTTAGTCCAAAGGTTCTGTTTAGTCCAGTGGTTCTGTTTAGTCCAACGGTTCTGTTTAGTCCAAAGGTTCTGTTTAGTCCAAAGGTTCTGTTTAGTTCAAAGGTTCTGTTTAGTCCAAAGGTTCTGTTTAGTTCAAAGGTTCTGTTTAGTCCAAAGGTTCTGTTTAGTCCAAAGGTTCTGTTTAGCCCTGTTTAGTCCAAAGATTCTATTTAGTCCAAAGATTCTAGTTTAGTCCAAAGATTCTGTTTAGTCCAAAGGTTCTTTTTAGTCCAAAAGTTCAGTTTAGTTCAAAAGTTCTGTTTACCTCTGAAAGGTGGAATGTTAATTTTATGATGTTTATTCATATTTTTGTTTGTATTAATGTAATGTCTTTATTATTCAGTAAAGGTCTCTGAATCACTTTGTCACTTTGTGTATGAATTGTGCTGTACAAATAAACTTGCCTCGCCTGTAGAACTGAAGTAGATTAAATATGAGATTCACTGACTTTTACATTTAAACTTATGAATATAATTATTGTGTACGTCTCCAACAAATTGGCTTTTTGTTTTTTGTTTTACTAACATTTTTCATTGTTATTGTTATAATGATTTTGAACAGTGGAAAAAACTACGTGCTTGTCCCCATGGAGATGTAGTTTCTTTGCATGAAATGTTCCATAATGTGGCATTGAACAAATCTGTTATTCATTTATTCAATTGCAGGTGTTTTAGAGCTCAAAAATACTTTGAAAAACAGGAATTCTTACCACATGCAAGGCTTCTCCACATATCTGACCTGTAACGTTTCTCCATTGTGTTTACCAAGTTTATTTCCATACTGTTGAATAATCGAGGCAAAATAGAAATATCTTCATGGAAACAAGCAGGTGACGGACCCTTCATGAGAAAAGCTGCACAGTGCATCTTGAAGTACAGAAAAAAAAAATCACATTCACATAATTGAACGTGTTTGGACATAACAGATCTTTCATATCCGATTATTCCTTCGGAGGCGTTATTGTTTTGAGACCAGCTGGGGAACTGTTATGTGTTAGAAGACCATATTTTTTCACCCACACACTGACAACTGTGGATCCCCGACTACAGTAATGTGGAAATGAAGCTATTCAGTTCATCACTTACATAATTATATTAATAACACTGTTTCTGACTGCTGTCCCGTGGGGCCTTGAATATGCAGAATTCCTTTATTCCAAGTGCTTTGTTTTGCTTGTATTGCAGTGCACGGTGACTTGCGGTCGAGGCCTGCGCTATCGTGTAGTTCTCTGTATTGACCACCAGGGGCAGCACATCGGAGGCTGTAATTCTTCAGTTAAACCTCATGTAAAAGAAGACTGCCTGGTGCCCATCGCCTGCCACAAGCCTAAAGGTAAAACAGCTTTGAATCATTTCAGAGAGATGGTTTAGCGATCTTTGCTTTTCATAGCAATTATTTATATTCTCAAACTTTTAAAAACGCGTATAAGCAAGCACAATAGCGCAATAAGACGCCAAGACCCTGATTCTCTGGTCGTTCTTCACTTTAACCTGAAACGTGATATGTCTATGTCGTCCTTACGTTTCTGTGGTGTCCATGATTGGGCACTAAAAAGACCCAAAGCCTACTGGAATTTCACTCTACAAACTCTTAGTCCTAAAGACTTAAATGAAGAATTGCTGTTTAATGTAATGTTATGGAAAAAAGTGTTGAAATGAAGAGTGCATACCGTATTTTCCACACTATAGGGCGCTCTGGATTATAAAACACACTGTCATTAAATGGTCTATTTTCGAACTTTTTTCACAAATAAACCGCACCGGACTTTAAAGGAAACACAACAGTTGGATGGGTCAGTGGGACTTTGTTTGGCGCTTTCACGGTGACTCTGGGCTTTGTTCAGTTGTGGCGTGTAGGGAGGGTGCTGTCTGGGACCGCTGGATTGTCGGCGTGTTCGCAGTGACTCAGTTGTTCATTTGTGGCTAGAAGTGGCACATTGCACTCGCTTTTTCGGTTCGTTCCTCCGTTCCATTCCTTGTCCACGTGGAGTGATGAGTGTGGCTGTGGGTGTTTTTCGCTGCGTGGTCGCTGTCTGCTCCGTGTGTGTTTGCGTGCGCTGCGGGTGGTGCGGCTTTGTAGTTTACTGAAGTCATGCTGGGGCTCTGGATTGCGGGATGCGCATTAATTTTTTGATGGGGTTGGATGCCTATAGTGTGGAAAATACGGTATGTACGCCCTCCTTCTGAGCCATGAGGGAGGTTCATGTTAAATTTTGTCTGTGTAATGAAATGTAACTTTTTAATCTTGATAATTGACTATATATTTTTCTAATAATTATCCAGATGTTTCAGTTCATGAAAGATTGGTGTATAGCTTTATTGGGGTCTAATTGTAAATGTATTATTTTTCACTGCTGTCATTGGATCATGACTCTTGAGGGGGCAGTCCCTCAACTTATATGAGCGGAAGGGGCTGTCCTCATACTTGAGGAAGGTCTGAGGGACCGAAACGTCGTACTAATAAAAGAATAATCAAGAGTGAGACCGTGTGCGGGAGTTTTTCTTCAAAAACAACAAATATTCTCAAACTTTTCAAATACCATCTAAGAAAATATTTGGTTTTCAGAGTTCCAACAGATCAGAACCAGGTCTATAACAGGATTAAACCTGGTCTAAACTTGGTAGCAAAGGTGTAAAATGGCACTAAACCACAACTAACATCACTTGATTTGAGCTCAAAGTATAGACGAAAAACATGAACAAAATTAATTCCAAACCAAAAGCATATCTGCATCATTAGAGAGACAGACAGATAGACGGACGGACGGACAGACAATACTTTATTATTGTGAAGGAATTTAATTAAAGTCAATATTATCTACTGTTGTATTCTGTAAGAAATGTTGATGTCAAACCCATCCTTCAGATCTATCTATCTAGAACTAACATGAATCACAACTGGACATTTGAGATCCTGCAGGTTTTTTACACCAAATGTGGCAGCAAATGTGGCAGAAGACTTCCAGTGGGAAAGAACTCAAGGGACTGTTGGATTGTGTGAAATGAACACACCTGTATCCATGGAGACCTTGCAACAGGTTTAGCTAAGAAGCGAATTAAGGATTTAGATTTTACAGACTTTTTACACCAGTGTTTCCCACTTTTTTTTTTTTTTTAAGTCACAAACCTTCAAGATCCAAGTCAATAGACATTATTTTAAAATCACAAAAAAGTGGATTTGACCATAATTGAAAATTAATAAGGATATTTTATTTTTGACTGAGTGATTGTGTCCCTCTGAACAATTAGTATTACTCAAATTTTAAACAATGAAAAACAAGCAGCAATAAAAGGGTCTATAAGTCGCCTATTTGGACATTAAATGTGTCCCTTTTTTTTTTCTTTTCAACATTCTATTGAACAAAATAGTCAATAAACTAATTACAGAAAGCCTAAAAATTATACAAAACATGTCTTAACATTTCAACATTTCTAAAGACATAGGTGGGCCTGTCTGCGTTTTTGCAGTGTGTTCCGGTCTGGGTGCAGGAAGAGAGCGACACACGCTGATCAGGCGCAGAATTCAGTCTGTTTCTGTGCTTTGTCTTCATTTTTGTGAGCACAGAAAGTCCCAGTTCACACATATATGAAGTAGTGAAAGGAATAAGCATAGAAATATTGGTCTTATTGAAGATTCATTGACTCACTTGCTCTCTCGTGTGTCAGAACCGTATATTGCAGACTTAACATGCAGCTCGTTAGCCACCTAGTGCCTCCGCTCAATTTCATTTCTCTCCAGCGATTAGATCAGGAATCAGAATACAGTAGACGGTTCACAAAAATCCCAGAAGTGCGAGTTCGGGCACCAGCCAATCAGCGAAGAGCCATACATTCTGTGTTGGCAATGATTCACGAGATCGAGGATTTAAAGCCGGAACAAAGAGAATGTTTGGTGAATTTTATCAAGGGGAAAGACACTATTGTCCTTCTTCCTACGGGATTTGGGAAAAGCTTAATATACCAGTTAGCCCTGTTAGCAGCGCATTACATACGTCACGACCAAATAGCAGCGAATGGTTAAATAAAAGAAAGTACCCGCCTACAGTCAAGCGAACGAATCCTAATGCTGTGAGGTCAGACGATTTCTATGAAGTGAAACCGGCTCATGAATCAGGCTATGAGATTGTGACAAGGTGACCCAAAAAAAATCTCTTGAGACCCACCTGAGAGTCGCGACCCAGTCTTTGGTAAACAATGTTTTACACCATATGTGGCGACAAACGTGTCAGAAGATCTTCCAGAGAAAATAAACTACAGTTTGACTGAGACACAAAGGCGACTGAGAAGCAAAGCGTAAATGTAGCTGCAGCAAAACTTGAATTTCCCTCGGGATCGATAAAGGATCTCTCTCTTTTTCTCTTTCTCTCTCTCTTTCCCTCTCTAGTCAGTGTCAAAATGATGGATAAAACACTAAAAATAATCAAATTAAAACAAACAATAAAAGAAAACTGGCCAGGTGTATTAACTGTGATACTTTTGTGTGTTTTCGTTCAGAGTCTGCCCCTGTTGAAGACAAGGAGCCGTGGTCAAAACAAGCTCAAGGTTTAGAAGAGCACCACATGGCCACAGAGGAACCCACGTGAGTAAGACTGCAGGAGAACCAAGAAAAATACTACTGTAATATAACTGTAATATCAGAAGCATAAAATCGCGCTCTTTCTGTCAATAGGGGCAAGAGGCTAAGTCCCTGCATTACTCAGTTTTGTTCTAATCCAACAGTTTTGTATGGATTTGATTCCTGCTGTAACTCGGCCAGCCATTGAATACAAATAATATTGGCTATGAGATCAAATAAAAACCTCAAAATATCAAATCTCCCATAATTAAAAAAGTGCAGCATTTGAAGAACTTTATAATTACAGGCCTGTCTATACGGCTCCATTGTCCCCAAGGAGCAATTGTGTCGAAGCAAAATCTGAACTGAATTTTGAATGTTTTTGTAGCTTCTGTAAACTGGTTTGTTTGGACTCATGAATATTAGTGTTGTCACGACACAAACATTTCAAAATCAATTTCACAATACACAATACACAATACTCAATACTGATTCCTTGATAATCCAAAAAATAAATCTCAAACTGGAGCTACTGGTAACGGTGAAAACAACCTGCGTAGGCTCATGATATCTGCAGTACTGTCCTATAGTGTGACCTGAGACATGAGGGACCAGGACTGAACCAGGACTGAACCAGGTCTAAACCAGGTCTAAACCAGGTCTAAACCAGGTCTAAACCAGGTCTAAACCAGGTCTAAACCAAGCTAAACCAGGTCTAAAGCAGGTCTAAACCAAGACTAAAGCAGGTCTAAACCAGGTCTAAACTAGGTCTAAACCAGGTCTAAACCAGGTCTAAACCAGGAGTGAGTGTCTGGACAGGGTCGGATGACAGCAGGCGAAAGGACCGGTGTCCGGAGCCTCATGGGGCTAAGTGCAGCCGTCGCCCAGTCGTGCTTTGCGGACACCCTGCTCCATGGGTTCGGGGTTGTCTGTCTCTCTCTCTCTCTCACTCGCAAGTCCAAGATTAGTCCTGGTTTAGACCTGGTTCAGTCCTGGTTTAGTGCTAGTTCAGTCCAGGTTTACTCCTGGTTTAGTCCTGGTTTAGACCTGGTTTAGACCTTGCTGTAGTCCTGGTTTAGACCTGGTTTAATCCTGGTTTAGTCCTGGTTTAGACCTGGTTTAATCCTGGTTTAGTCCTGGTTTAGTCCTGGTTTAATCCTGGTTTAATCCTGGTTTAGTCCTGGTTTAGACCTGGTTTAGTCCTGGTTTAGACCTGGTTTAGTCCTGGTTTAGTCCTGGTTTAATCCTGGTTTAATCCTGGTTTAGTCCTGGTTTAGACCTGGTTTAGACCTGCTTTAGACTTGGTTTAGACCTGGTTTAGATCTGGTGTAGTCCTGGATCAGTCCTGGTTCAGTCACGAATCGCATACCCCCACTTAAAAAATCTCCACTACACCACTGATTAAAGGTGCATTGTGTAACTTTTTGGTTGGGGTTCCTCATCTTCTTGTGTCTATGGATATTTCATTGCTCTGCTCAGAACAAGAGTCTCCAACCAGTATCTCTCCACTCCCTTCCAAGTAACTCATAAAAGGATTTCTGAATTGTGTGTATTGGGCTTAATAACTAACATCTGATTATTTATCTGCCTAACTCGAGCACTAATAAATTCATAATGGTTTATTTTTATCAGCATCTTAACAGTACACAGTCTAAACCTTGCCATAGTTCTTCTACTTTCTACATTTCCTGCAAAAAAATGCTAAAATGAGTAACTTTCTGGCATTTTCGTTTTATAAACGTAGCTCAACAGAGGAAAAAGGTTAGTGACCTCTGGCTTAATATGACATTAAACAGGTCTGCCTTACATTTATTCAATTACTGGTGGTTTTATAGCCCAAAAATATCTAGGAAAATCAGACGTAACTTGGCCTGGTTTGGTCTTCTTGAAGATAGAAAGGTTTAATACCATACAACATTCAAGACAAAGCAATAACGTCTCCATGAAGAAAAACATTTGATAGACCCTCCACCACTGGATTTACGCAATGCACTGTCAGTTTCCCCAGACGCGACACGCAAGTAACTCCTAAGCAAAAAACTTCAGGAGATAGGAAAATCTACGATGTCTTTATTTTAGCGCAGGCAGCTTACAGAACTCAATTCAAATGATTACAGGATTTCGGTCACCAGCGTCTCTGAATGACAGCAGAATAGACAGTTCTTATACATGACATCTTGTTGAAATATTAACTTATTTATTAGCTCACTTTAGCAAGAAAGTCCACATACATATTTGATAAAACTTGTTTTGAAGGACATTTTTGCAGACATATTGATCAGGCTATCAGGTTCACATCCGCCCCCCTTTGGACCTTGATTTGGGGCAGCAACCAAAAGAAAACATAACAAGAAACATTTTGATATGATTCAATTAACAGTAAAGCATCAACACAAGAAAATAAACCCACAGCACCTTTAAATCTTAGTACTTTCTTTTATATTACCTTGTGGTCTTATCTGCCTATATCTGTGTAATCCCTCAGTGGTCCAGGTACATTTCATAGTTTATGCGCTCTTATTTTTGTTCTGATACAGCTGAAGATCATTCTAAAAGGTTAATTTCCACTCTGGTTTATGTGACTTTTTTAGTATCGATCCTTGCTCAAATGAGTATTGATACTAGTTTTGGTCTCAGTTAGTGTCTGATTTTCAATACTTTCGACAACCCTATGGATATTGCCATTTTTCAAAGCAATCTGCACTGATTTATGTTTTATTTATTTGACAGGGACAGATACAACAAACATGGATAAACAATTATGTAATCGGTTGCAGGTATCACAGTGTTTATAGTCTAAGTGAATTTGCAACAGCAGTTCACAAAAGGTAGAGAGCAGAGTCCCACTGCACTGCTTCGAAAAGTTTTCCCAGTCGCAAACTATTTGGGAAGATAAATCACCTTCTCTTACCTGATCTTATCTTTAAATTGTCTCTGCTCTTAACTTGATCGACAAATACAGCAGTCGTTCGCCGCTTATGTAAATGTGTTTGTTTAGATTCACGCCAATTATAAGTTAATGTATTCATTAGCTGCGTCTTTGTTCATTTATTCATCTTTCTTACTGAACGTACTCCCTCTGACAATTTGTCCCTCCCCCTGCACGCTCAGAGACAGTAAATACCTCCTCTTTGACAACAGGCTAATTTTCCAGATGCATTCTACTCCTGTCTGAGATGATGGGGCGTCAGAGTTGTGTCCTTAGGCAAGACACTTCAACCACATTGCCTAGAACAGGTGTGGGCAAACTAAGGCCCAAGAACCGTATGCGACCCTTTAAACCTTTCAATCCGGCCTGCTGAACTTGAATAAATTATTATCTACATTCAATAGGGAAATGGGCCTGTAATCATCATCATCATCATCATCATCATCATCATCATCTTTATTCCGGACTCATGGTCCATTTTAAAAACAGACAAGGACAGTGAGAATACAAAACAATAAACATTCATGTTTTTAAAAACAGTGTTGGGAAGGTGACTTTTAAAATGTATTCCCCTACAGATTACACATTACATACACCAAAATGTAGTTTGTAACGTAATCCATTAGGTTACTTAAAGTGAGTAACGTAATCTGAATACTTTGGATTACTTGGTTTGCTCTAGAGTAGCAAATACTAGGAAATCTTCACATAAGATGTTTTGTCTGGTAAAAGCAATAAAAAAGCCCAGACTTTACTTAACCAAATTCAAAATGTTATTGATAGAAGAGGAGGAAACACGGTCCATGCAGCATGATTTAGTCCTGTTAAATCCTGTTTTAGACCTGGTTTAGACCTGGTTCTAGTCCTGTTTTATACCTGGTTTAGTCCTGGTTTAGATCTGGTTTAGACCTGGTTTAGACCTGGTTTAGACCTGGTTTGGATCTGGTTTGGACCTGGTTTAGATCTGGTTTAGACCTGGTTTGGACCTGGTTTGGATCTGGTTTGGACCTGGTTTAGACCTGGTTTAGATCTGGTTTAGACCTGGTTTGGACCTAGTTTAGATCTGGTTTGGATCTGGTTTAGTCCTGGTTTAGACCTGATTTGGACCTGGTTTAGATCTGGTTTAGACCTGGTTTGGACCTGGTTTGGATCTGGTTTGGACCTGGTTTAGACCTGGTTTAGATCTGGTTTAGACCTGGTTTGGACCTGGTTTAGATCTGGTTTAGACCTGGTTTGGACCTGGTTTAGATCTGGTTTGGATCTGGTTTGGACCTGGTTTAGACCTAGTTTAGACCTGGTTTAGTCCTGGTTTAGACCTGATTTGGACCTGGTTTGGACCTGGTTTAGACCTAGATTAGACCTGGTTTAGTCCTGATTTAGACCTGATTTGGACCTGGTTTGGACCTGGTTTAGACCTGGTTTAGACCTAGATTAGACCTGGTTTAGTCCTGGTTTAGACCTGATTTGGACGTGGTTTAGTGCAATGAGTCGAATTACCGAAAAAAAAAAAAAAAAAAAAAGGGGATATAGCCCAAAATGTGAAAACAGGAAAATATCACTGTGTAATCCATTTATTTCAACCAAGTAACTGTAATCCAATTACCACTCACTGAAACAGTAACTGTAACTGAATACAGTTACTCATAATTTGTACTCTGATTACATAACTCCGGTACATGTAATCTGTTACTCCCCAACACTGTTTAAAAGACAACCACACCAGTGTCTCCACATATTGGACTGATGTCTTATTGCACTGAATCTCAGATTTGTGAGTGACATTATTATTTCATTGTCTGATTTGTTCAGTCTGCAGATAAAACTGTACATTAAAATTCTTAGTGCAGCTTGCAAAGTGTTCACTCGAGCAGTAACAAACATCTCTGTCACACTCGTCCATCGTGGCCTCCTCAAAAGCACCGTAAAGCGTCATTATAAGCCACCTGCAGTCTTTGCAAACTGGCTTTTTTATAATTAGTCCAGAGGTGAGCTGCGTACAACGGTGAACAATATGATTTGAACAATAACAACTTTACATCATTTGTACAAGAACCAAACTTACGCATAGAGTACGCAAGAGTATTTGCCGCATTCT